ATGGTAATTCTGTTAACCTTTAAGAAGAGATCAGATTTATCCTTGTGCCTCTGTGTGCATGTGCTGTGACTGGACTTTAATGAAATATGAGAAGTGTGTGATGACTCTGTGTGCAGTAATCAGGGGTTAGAGCAGGTTCAGTCGTCATGGCCTCTGGCCTCTGAGTGGCTTGTTAAACCCATGCTGAACCTTCAGACACCCGCACAGAAGCTTCAGTTCTCCATCTGTACGTGCCTCAAATCATGTGATCAGGTTACACAATAAAAAATAAAAAATGTTGTCAAATCGAAGTAGTGGAAAAAAATATTTGTTTTTTAAACAGTTTTTTCCCCTCAGTTGTTTATGTAACATTGGTCATTATTTTTATTCTCCAGCCAGAAGAGTAAATTTGAGTCAAAACTAGTATTTTTAATTAACAATATAAAGTATTTTTAAACAAACTATGTTAACTAAAATTTGAAAATGTAAATATATAATAATAATAATAATAAATATAACCTTTTAGACTGAACCCCCCCCCCCACACACACAAACACACAAACACACAAATGTTAAAAACATTTCTGCTGTATTATGACAGAACTGCTTGTTTTAAGTTTTTTATGGTGAAAAAAAAACCCAGAAACAATAGTCGTTGAGTGAGTTTTTGATTAAATTATTTTAATTTGTTAATATTAATTGTATTAATAATTATGTTTAATCATTTTTGGTCATCCTCAGCATTCTTGGAAGTTTGCTGAGGCCACCCAGTGGGCCCTAGCTCTCTTTTTTAGAACCACTGTAGTAAATAAAGGCAAAATTCTATTATATTTCACTAAAATTTTTATTAAAATAAATAAACCAGTAGATTTTTGTAGATTTGTTTATAAAAACACAATTGGCATGAACTATTCAACGTTAAACATTTGTTGCGTTGGGAATATGAGGGACATAAATGGCATTGGAACCGTATGAAGCAGCATACAGTACTTATATATATATATAAGTATATATATTGACAGTATCTGACCTGGTACACTTTTTCCTTTCAGCAGGAAAATGAGAGGTTGAGGGGAGGAGCACAAACGAAACGTCATTCATCTTTCTCCAGCAGTGACACAGGAAAGCCCAGTCCACAAATCACCCTAAAGCGCCACGGCTCCAGTGAGTCCCATCACACTCTGCACTGTGCTGGTTGTGATTATAACAAACACAGCTGCTGGATTCAGCATTGTCTTTAACATAGAGTATGGTGGTTTAAAGTTTTTATAAGCATCCTGCTGACTGCTCAACCTTATTTTGGCCATTTTGAAAATGGCTGCAAAGTTCTTGCACTGTCACATCAAAAGCAGTCAGAATAATGTAACCTGAGCTTAACAAGACATTTTGGTTTCATCTAGAGCTTTCTGCATTTTCACACTCATTCTCTCACCAGATAAGTGCTAAGAGCTTTGCCACCTTCCCACAGACTTCTAGGGTCTGATCTTTGACCTTTACTTGACATTGCAGACGCAAATCAATACGGGAGGTATGGGAAAACGCGGGCACAGGAGGACGCACGCCGATACTTGAAAGAAAAAGAAGACCTGGAGAAAGAAAAAGACAGTATCAGAAGCGCACTAGTCTCACTGCGGAATAAGAAACGAGAGGCAAAAGAGAAGATGAAGGGTGGAACGGGTGAGAAAGCAAGCTTTCCTGCCTATTTAATGAGATGCTCAGGGACTCTTTCAAAATAGTTAAACAAGTGACTTTCCCCCACTTTTACTAGCAAAATAACTTTATTGCTTTTTTCTTTTAGCATATTAAACATTTTAATTCAATCACGTAAACGTATGTCCTCGTTTCTCTTTTAAATCCATGTTTATGATACATAGTGTTCATAAATTATTCTCTTGAGAGGGTACCAGCCATATTATCATAACACAGAACACTTTTAAATCGTAATATGGCTTGAAATAATTAAGACAGCTATAAATATTAGAACAGTATTTTATAGTACTGTAAAATGATGATTGTTTTTCTTGAATACATGTTTTTTTTTTTTCAATTTTACATTGAAAAAGCATTATTACAATAGTAATGTTTCTTATTTTATTTAATATGTTGGTTGTAATAATTATTATAATTATTATTTTAAAGTGAAATAGTATTGGCACCACACTATAAATAGTATTGTAATATTGTAATAGTAGTAGTATATTGTAATATTATTGTAGTAATTTTAATATTTCTAATATTATAACATTTTACATTTTAATAATAATAATAATAATAAAAAAAAATATTTTGTAGTGAAATAGGATTATCACAATGGTGATGTTTCTAGAGGTTTTTTTTCTACTGTTTTTACACTAAATTACAATTACAATACAATATAAATTACAATAAATATTAAAATTGTAATTGTACAAATTGTGCAGCCCTACACACAAGCACAGCAAACCTGGAGCTTTTTAAAATCGCAGGTTTTTATATGAAAAATCTATTTCTTCCCTAAATTGTGCAGCTTACTTCACTACTGTCCTTAAACTCATGTTGATGTAATTTCTTTATGTTTATTATGGTCATAATTGATCTGCCAGAAAGTCATATGTAAATTGAACTATGTACATGTTGTGCAGATAAGCAGAAGTTGGCTTTAGAGGAGCGTGTAGCCCAGCTGGAGGACAGCTGTCGGGTGAAAGGAGGAGAGCGTGTGGACCTAGAGCTCAGGCTCACACAGGTGAAGGAAAACCTGAAGAAATCTTTGGCTGGTGGAGAACTGGGGGCGCCTACAGAGTCTAAACCTACAAACAAGGTACTGACAAATATGAGAATTATTAGTGATTTACTGATCCATTATTGTTCATAATTGTTAAATATGCAACTTGTTTTCCTTACAGACTCAAAGGACGGAGACTCAGTATATTGAGTCGTTTCTCCCTGTCAACTGCGCCTCTGAAATTCGTAAGCGGCCCCCCTCCATCTATGCATCCACTAAGGGAAATGTTATACAGAAAGCTAAGGTAAACACGTCAGTGTTCACAACATTATGCAGTGCAATGCATCAAAAGACAGATAATGCAAACAGAACAGTTTGCTGCATCAATAGAGATCACATTAAAACAGTCAGTCTCTAATGAGTTTCATTGATCAGTTTGGGTCCCTGCTATTAAGATTTTATATATTGCAGAATAGGCCTGTTTGTGTGTCACTTAATCCTTAATGCTTTGTTTTTACCCAGGAATGGGAATCCAAGAAGGGGACTTAAACTGCTTATCAGGAAGACCCACAGATGTAAGAATTTGTGCCATGTCAAGGTTAACATGAGGACTTTTCTACCAACTTCCCCCAAGACAGACTGCTGTATATGCAAATCTTTTGACTACGACGGCTGCCACTTTTGCAACTTTATAACGGTGCTAGAATGAAAAAGCAGCAGCTCTATTATATTTTGCAGTCAAATGATGTCCTCTATCTTGTGAAGTTCTACATTACCGGCACAAAATATTGAAGGATTGAGTTTGTCCACTGAAAGTGAAAAAGGGTTGTGGGTAGGTTATAAAGAAAGATGGCAATGCATGTTTGAGACAGTCCACTTTAAAATAGTCTTTTAAGAGAGGCATGGTGATTGATTTGTACAAAGTCTTGTTTTGTTTTTTTTTATTCCATTGCTTATACAGTACTTATGGGGCTTAACTCCTCTTAACCAAGTGGTGCTAATAATGGTGTACATATGACAACTGTAAATAATTTAAACATTTTTCTAAAACTAGCCTCAATGTGTTTAACTGATACTTCTGTTTGTAACCTTTTCTTTACCACCTTTTAATGTGAGTAACATTTGCACTTTAAAATGTCTTTAGACATGGAGATGGGAATATTCTTTTAATAAAGGAAAAAGTGTATTTTTGTTCTTTGTTATAAACTTGCATGGAAACTATAAATTGGAAACAACATAGGGCATTACTGAGATCTTATACAAACCAGACCCTAACCCAAATGAAGTGAACATTCATATTTCCTAAAAACAGTGACAGGCATTTAATAACCCTAGTGTGCCACTAAAAGTTTTCCAAAAAAAAAAAAAAAAAAAACCTATTTCCTTATAAACTGGATTTACAGAAAGAGGACTAGTAGATTGTCAGTTAAATGTTTAATGACGTACAACACCTTTAGTGAGATCTTAACACTACTGAGGAACTGACCCAGTTAAGTTTAAACAAAGACCGCTTGGCGTCAGACTAACATACAAACAGAAGTTTCATGAAACATTTAATACAGTAAAGAAAGCAAACAATTTAAAAAGTACAAAGTTAATCCACAAAGTTTAGAGTTCACACTCAGGGGGCAAGTCAACAGTCAGCTCGCTGATCGTCTGTAGGAATGCCTCCATTTCGTCATCGTATTCCACTGCTGCATGAGAGGATAAAGTTTAACTGGGCATAAAGACAACTTTAAGATACATTTCTAAATACATCCATCCATTACCTCTGGGCATCTTTAAAGGTGAGAGTGGCAAACATGGGTCCATAAGCAGCTCTTCCACAGGTGAAGCAGTCGGCCACATCGGTTTTCCCAAACCAGCCAGAGAGAAACGACTGAGGTAGACTTCATCTGGAACACCATAGGTCTCAAACTCTACAAGTTTAACATGGGACAGAATTATCAAGAGCTGAACTCAAGTTTAGTTTTAAAGCCAAAAAAAAAAAAAAAAAAACAGCAGGTCGGTCTTACCGCTTGGATTGTATGGGAAACACTTCTCAATCTCTGGCAACTCCTCACTAGCTGGCTGAGCAGGAACCTTACACTGATGGAACAAAAACATTTAATCAACCTACAAATAACGTTCATAGTTTTCTCTGCATATCAAGAACAAACCTTGGCTTCAGCAGGTTTGGTCTTCTCCTCTGCTTTATGAGAGGCTGCTGGAGTGGCAACAACCTTATTTATGACACCCAAAGCTTTACGGCTGGACTGCAGAGGAGCGCCAAGACGTGCCTTTCCTGTCAGAGGTGTTCTCAAGCACTGATCTGAAAATGTGACAGACGTAAATTAAGGAATAGTCGTGAATAGTTCCGTGTTGGTTTGGTTATGACACAAAACCTAACGTTATATTGGTCTCTGACCACCGGCACTGACCTGGAGCAGAGTGCAGTCTGTTCTGGCGAGACTTGATGGCTGGAGTGGTCAGTCTGCCGTTCTCCTGATCCAGGTAAATCATGGTGTCCATGTCTGTACGTTAGCTTTTAAAAGCTTTGACAAGCAACACAATGAAAATGTAACTTGTTTGGTACAAATAATGCCATTCATGATTTGTAACGAAGCAATTCGTCCAGCTTGGCAATTCCGTTTGTCAGTTTTACATTAAACAAAAAAGTGACTCGCGGAATATTACGTGAGATTTATCATTGCAGGTTCATTTACACGTAACTTAGACTTTTTAAGTTAAACCTTACCGTTTCTCCTCTACGCAAGCAAAACGACGTTTGTTTTGGTGGTTCCAAGTTTCCCGGCTGAGTTTTAAAAGGCAACCTGCTTCCTGATTGGCTGATGGATTTTCCTCTTTGACCAGGCGATGCTCTTAGTTCATTGAGTAAGCGCAACAGTGCCACCTTATGGCCAGAGTGAGTAAAGCAATAGGATCATAGATGATCACGATCAGTGATTTGTTGGCGGTGATGCACGAATGGCGTTCAGTCTGATAGTAAACCCGAATAAGAAAGTGAAATCTCCAAATATATCACTTAAAATGGGTGGATGGACCCATGGATGAGTAGATTGGGTGATTAAGTAGTCAGATGTTTTATTACTACTGTATCATCGTAACAATTTGATTGAAAATGTAAACATAACTACTGTTACAAATTAGCTTAGGTGATTATTAGTGACAGAGACATATTGCATAATCGCATACGTTTCTTTGTTTTGTTTTGATTACTTTTTTTAAACATTAAAACTTTATTTACAGGTTTGAATTAGATTTGACAATGTGGAATCAGATTGTGGACCCCATACAGTCATACATGCATACACTGACCATTAATGCTTTTATTTAATGCCATTTATTATGGTCAGTGCTTATGGAGTTTACAGCATCCCTACAGCACATTACGTTTACCTAGCAAAACAAAGCAAGAAGAAAAACAGGTAAAGCATTGAACCCTTAAATAAATCAGTAATGTGAAGGCAATTGCGAACAGCATCCTCCTTTGTGTCCTGCTGCAGTTGAGTCTGTGTGGTGATTTATGTGTGTCCATATAATCTTCACTTTCATTGTTGTGTAGAAACACTTGCTTCAATGCAACAATGAAACAAGTCCAGCTCCTTCTTACACTGCACTATTTAACTGTAATTGATGGGTAGTCAACAGTATTTTCACTTTTACAGTCATTTGTGCAATACTTTGTTCATTAATGGAGATGGGAGGTAGAGTTGTTTATCCATTAGAATAAAAGGTAGTAGAGCCAGTAGAAAATATTGACGAGGAGAAATACCATGGGGAAAAATACACGTGCATTTCTGTCGATGTTGTTAGGATTCTCGACACTCATCATGGATGCTGCTCGGCGAGACATTTGCTTTACGGAGGACAAACCGCAGCCCTTCTCTTTCTTCTTGTCTGTGGCTTCATTCCCTTCGCATGTCACAGATTGCTCAGGCGTCTCCTGCTGAGTGGATTCTTCTGTCTGCATCATTTTGGGTGACATTGAATTTGCCAAATGAGTCGTACCATTTGACTCCTCGAATTCTTTGAGTAGTTCCTGAAAATTGAATGTAAACATGAAAAAATATAATAGGTTGTACAAAATGTGTCATTTTAACCACTATGCAGCGGTTTCTCACCCTTTGCACATCTACAATGGTCTGGTGCTGCATGGTGCAGAAATGAGCGCAGGCATATTCCAGCAGAGCACCAAAGATGAAGGTGAAACAGATGCCGAGATAGACGTCGATAGCCTTAATGAAGCAGTTGGCATTGGGAAGTGAGGTCCTGGCACCCATCATTAGTGTGGTCATAGTAAGAACAGTGGTCACCCCTGTCAAATAAATGGATTTGACAGAGAATATTTAGTATATTTCAACAAGAAATGTTTTGTAACATATGTTTTCTAGAGTAATAAGCTCTTGGAATCACTGACCGATGCAGGTGCGAGCTGGAACGGAGGACTGACTGATCCAGAAAGACACCCATGACAGAACCACCAGCAATGTTGAGGGCACATATGTCTCCAGAATGAAGAACAATACATTTCTACGTAAAGAGAAGTGCAGAACTAGCTTCGGGTAAAAACCTGCAACAGATTCAGAATATTGCAGGTGATTCACTGTATAAAAAAAAAATGCTTGCAATTTTCACAAAAAAAGTACTATAAGAATGCTACATTCAAAATAGTTAATTGATTAACTGTAAGATATCTTATCATATACAATGAAAACGGTAAATGGTTTAAAACTGCATTATATATAAAATACTGTATTTTTTCCAGTAAAAACCATATAATATATACAGTGCATATAATATATATAGCCCCTGAATGACACATATATGTTAAATAGTTTTGTTTCTTCTCATTTTGTTATCGGTAATGTACATTAAGGTGTTTTGTGTTGTCTATGTCTATGTTTAGTTGTTTTCCGTTTTACCACCTGTATTATCATGTGGTTTTTGGTACATTATAATGTAAAATTCTAATTTTGGTAATTGGAGTAGATTAGTAATATTAACTGTGAAGAGTTGATCTTCAGCGCTGGAAACGGCAGTACGGGCACACATATTTAGATACATATACATACACTCTTACCTCATTCCTAACCCTGCTGTTTAGCCATCAGAGAGCGGGTGCACACGTAATCTGGATGGCACACGGACCTTTCACACACTCTTTACCTCCTTTACAGTATACATACCCCGGATCAACCACACAGACACCATGTGGTTAGTTTGAAGTTTATTTTTAGTTCGTTTTGTCTTGTGTGTGCGTGGGGAGTAGTCGGACTTCCACGTTGCGCCGGCCAAACCAAACGATCGAGCGACGCCCGCTTATGACGTCACTGCCGCGCCGTGCCGGCGCAATGCGATCATAGTCCGACGAAACCATTGTTGTTTGTATGTGGGGAACTTTGTTATCTTTTCTGTGGAGAGAAAATATATTAAATGGTAACGATTTATGTTATTAATATTTGTGTTCTATAATGGTTTATTGGTTTTGTGTTTTATAATGTGATTGATGTTTAATGTGAAGTTTATGAGTTACAGATGAGATTATAAGACTAAATGCTTACCTACTAGTGGTACCCTCCAGGTAGGGGGTGGACCCTGGCCTATAAGAGGGGAGGCTTCGCGTCGGGAGACTTGTTTAGCAAGTCAGCAAGCGTGCTAGTGCAGTGCCGTGAGCAAAATTGGACATATTGTATATTGTGAGTACTCGTTTGTGCACTTTGTTTATGGTTTACTTTGGTACTTTGCTATTTTTTGGACTGAGCACTTGTGGAAATACCATACTCT